GTTAATAGAATGGGATTAAATACATAAAGGATATTTGTGTTGTTTAACATTTAATTATTGCAGGTTTGCGTCATATTCTGAGTTGCATTATTTTTATTCATTTTGAGGAATACTGAATCTGTGTTTTTGTTTTTTGTTTTTTTGTGAGTGAGATTAATTAATGCATATTCATATTTATTTTAGAACTACAGTAACATCTGATTTCTCTCAACATGGGGACAGGAGAGCTGTCAATCAATAAATTGGAAAAAAAAAGTAACTTGTGTTACTTATTTGAAAAAGGAACTCAGATATTCTCTTGTAAATTAAAAAGTAATGCGTTACTTTACTAGTTACTTGAAAAAAGTAATCTGATTACGTAACTAGCGTTACTTGTAATGCGTTACCCCCAACACTGTATATATGTATGAAATAAAGAAAAGTGAAGTAAAGAAATACATGAAGTAGAGAAGAACTGTGGTTGTTGTATAGGGCCAACAGGGGGAGATGTAACTCTTAAACACTGGCAATGACAGTTACAATATATAACAGTCTTCTGTCTCTCTTACGTCTCTTAACATATCTTTCATTCTCTATCCCACAGTGCATCAGAGATGTGTGAGCTTACGTTTGGGCTGGGTATTTTCCTCATCATGTTTTTAAGTATGATAATAAAGCAATATAAATAAGCTATTTAATCAATTTTGAAAGTTACTTTTTAGAATGCTTTCTAACTTTACTAATATTTTCTCCACAGGGACTGCAAATTGTGTAAAATTTGAACAGACTCCGCTCTTGATTGCCAACCAAAGTAGCGAGGCACAGATCAGCTGCAGACATGACGACAGTAGCTTACTTGTCATGTTATGGTATCGACAACAGAGAACAGGCATGTCTCTAGATCTAATCGGCTATAGTTACTCAGGATCTTCACCAAACAATGAGCCTGAATTTACAGATCGGTTCAAACAAACTAGACAGGACACAGTGACGGGATCTCTAACCATCTCAGACCTCGTTCTGTCAGACTTGGCTATTTATTACTGTGCTGCCAGTACACAGTGCTGCAAAATCAGTTTTTACTGACAGAAAAACCCTCTGCCCTATCTAAGATATGTTTCTCCAGTTTATGTTACTGTAAAATATTGAGTGGTTAACCACTATCAGATGTGTTACAAACCATGACTAACTGCCAGTATTAAATTCCTTTCTGGTGCTGAGAATATGAAAATATAATGCAAGCAAAATAATAACTGTTAATATTAATTATGGCGCACTAAAATTGTAAACAAAAAGCAATGGGGAATTCACTGAGAGTGAATTATGCCTGTCCGATTTACTGAAGGAATTATACAAATCAGGTAAATTTTTTTTGCCCTCCAAAAATATGTGCTGAACACAATTTGCAAGGTGCAATGATCACTCAATGTCTTCAATAAAAAATTGAAAGGTACAACTGTTTGTGTGTTATTAGTTAAGTGAGACTGTTTTTGTCTATAATTGTGACTTACTGTAGATGAAGATCAGACCACACGTAATGAATAACCAATGTAGAAATCCAGATATTTTCAAAGGGTTATATTAACATATACAATATATCCAAAGCACTGTAGAGACTACAAACTTTTCAGTGTTTGGCACTGATATCTGAATCCTGTTGATGCAATCGTTCCACATATAATACACCTAAAGAAAAGTGCATCAACAACAGGAGATATACTGTATATCCTAAAATTACATAATTACATATATCCTGATATTTTTGAATCCTCTTTGGTACAGACAGTGTCTTTAGCGTGAGAATGCCAAACAATAAATTTGAACTGAAAACCAAGCTGGGTCATTTGTAGTATGTAATTATCCCACAATGTTGCACAAATATTCACAAATGTAAAATGCATGAAATGCTGCAGTTTTGAATGGCAAGTTAAAAATGTAGAAATTAGGTTTAAACATTCAGAAGTTGCCTTTCAAATCCTATTCAAAATAATTATTTTCATTTGTGCATGCTATTTGTGATGATGTCAGAAACTATGACCATCAGTCGTCATCTATAAAGCACAGCCAGCCCCTCCTTGTAGAGTCAGCTTGTTAGCTTACTTTTGCTATACTTTTTGCGTTCTACTTGATCTGGCTCAATCCGGGAGATGAGGAACCACCGAATCACAATACTTCTCCTGAAATGGCTCCTTATAGTTTGTCAAAGTGAGTGTCATATTTGCAGTATGGACATTTACTGAACTACTGGACTACTGAAATTATTACATTTAAAATCCCTTTTTATTTATTCAAGGCAAACAACATGCTGAACACATGCTAGTCAAGTATACATAACTTTATTGCTTATAATATAAGTGCTGTCTCAGTGTTATATGTTTGTCTACTGTTTTTATTTCTGTAGGTCAGACATCAGCTCACATCGTGCTTCAGTCAACACGTTTCATATCAGCGCTACCAGGAGATAAAGTGACTTTTGACTGTAGCATGGCAGCAGGAGTTAGCGTGTCTAGCTATACCATGCATTGGTACAGGCAAGACCATTATGGACAACCTATACAGTTTATTATAAAAGAGTATGACAAAACAACACAGAACTATGAAGCCATTCTGAACACAAAAGACAACATGTTCAGCTTGATTGTATCCAACCTCACTGCACAGGACAGTAGTACATATTACTGCGCTGCAAGCCACAGTGAAGCCAGAACTGTGCACGCTCTAACAATAAGCATGTGATATAATTGACACCTGGTGTTAGAGAAACTTTTCTCTAAGGATGTCCTGGTTGAGAACCATTGTGGCTTCAATGGATATAAGACATGTACAACTCTACACTGTAAAAAAAAATCTGTGACATTTACGGTAAAATACCGGCAGCTGTGGTTGCCAGAACTTCACCGTAAAAAATATGGTAGAAACATTTTAGGTTTTACAGGTTTAACTTAAATTCACAATAAATAAACGTATTTCATTAACTGATGTAATGTTAATAAACCGGCATATTGAAATACTAATATCTGTTTTGAACCATTGTAATGCACTGATAACCACCAAAAACAGGTGGTGATGATAAAGTCACTATGAATCAAAACTCATCACAAACAGCTTTTCCACAAGCTGAGAAGGGAAATATTAATATATATATATATATGTATAGAAAGGTGCACAGTGTCATTCACACAAACACTAAACACCATCATGGTAACACACATGATACTGAAATAATGCAGTAAACATTCATTTAACAACATTAGATGTAAGATAAAACCCTAATGTACACAACTGATAAGGAAAAACTAAGAAGAAACATAGTTATTTCAACGAAAAAACATAAAATATGAAGTGTCATGCGGGGAATTCTGGGAGTGTCAATTTACAATTTTTAACTGTAAATTATACAATTACTTTTTTTTTCACTTCCAAAAACTGTAATTTTAACAGTATTTTACTGTAAAAATTAAATGTAATTACAGTTATTCACCGTATATAGTATGGAAACTTACTGTTAACCAACTAACAGGTTTTTACTGTAGCATTTTTACAGTCTTTTACTGTTAAAAATCACAATCATTTTTTACAGTGTATAACCCATTGGCTGCAGTTTTGGGGAGCTACTAAATAATCTAGCAATGACACTGAGCCAAAATTGTATATCTTTGTTTCTGTTAAGACTGGATAGGCAGTGAACTTGTGAACCAGTTTAGTGAGGCTCAGTTGGATGGTTCATATAAATAATTTCAAATTAGAAGTCCTTAGTTTTGAAAATGAATATATATTTGCTTTGAAAAGTATTAGTTAGCTAGAAATTATGAGTAGCTTAGTGAGTAGTTTGTCAGCACTGGAGAGATGTGTTGTTGGGGCGTGTGCTTGTTATTTTCACAGGAAGTTGACATTATCTGTCATACCTCAGAACTGTAAGGAAGTCAGTCACAGCATTACTGAGTGCACCTCATTCATTTATGGGACAATATGGAGCTCAGCTGGTTCATACTCACTTTACTGCTGACTGTCTGTAAGGCTTTTGGATTTTGATTGTTTTTTTTTTCTTCTTCACCTTTTTATATATTAAGTTGCATTCCCTTGTGAAAAAGAAGTACACTTTAGCATACTTTTAAAAAGTAAAAAAGAGTACTTTCAGAAATATTCCTTTAAAAGATATACTTGTGAAGTGAATGTAATGGATGTGCACTTAATTGCATGCTATTTGCAATTAAATTAAAATGTTTTAT